GAGAAGTGAACTGCTATCTTCCTAACTTCCAGCTATGGAAAAAAATCCTTTTATTCCCTGTCTGTCACTTTGGTCACTGCTGATTCCTCACTGCTTGCTGGACTCATTCTCACTGCTTATATGGATAATGGCTGGGGTCCAATCTCCCTATCCATCCACTTGTATTCTGGAAGTTTTGAAACCACCCCAAAGCCACATGGATGGTTAAATCTTCAAAGGACTACTTTTATGACTATCTAAAATCATTGATAAAATTTTATGTTGCCAATTCAAAGGTGAACTGGAAACACAAATCCTGAAAAACCCAGTAATTCAGTTGCCTCAAAGATGGACTGGAGATGAAATTCATACGAAATTCAGATATCTGAGTGGATTTAAAAGAATGGAGTTTATCTACTTATCTTCTAAAAATGTGTAAGAAATCATATTGTTATAATAATGACTAGAATTCATCTAAGAAATGAAGACAACCTAAGAGTTTCTCAATTACTAGGTGTCAAAAGGATTAAAATAAATGTTTTAAAAAACAATGTTTTTTTGTTTTTTTATTTCCCCTCTATAACCAGTTGTTTTACATCTTAACAAAATACTAACAATGTTAAACTGAATATTTACTACTGAATAAAGAATGTCAACTCAGTCATAAGAGCAAATTTATCCAAAATCTTTCATGTATCTACAACCGAATTCAGCTTACAAAGGAACAACTGACTAATAAAAAGACAACTGAATGATCAATACCATAAACAACACTTCTTGGTGATGGTCAACAAAAAGCAAATGAAAAAAAAAAAAAAAGAAAAAAGGTTTTGATGGGTCAAAGGCCAAAAGAAAGAAAGAAAGAAAAGGTACAATATAAAAAAAGTAAAGAGAAAAATAACAGCAGATGAGGAAGAGGGTAATAATTAGCACTTAAACATGCAAAGGAACAGCATAGATGACATTAATTTAATAAGTGGAGAGCAATAAATTAATTTAATAAGTGGAGAGCAATAAATTTCAACAGTCGTCTTCAAAATGCAGTTCTGTCATGAAAATACTACACTTTGGTTTTGCATATGAAAACTGCAAGTCTTAAGCATAAGTCTACCAATAAACTACAATTTAACCTGTTGTACCAAACTGCAGGAAGATACAAATTCATCCTGTGGTGGGTTGTGTGACTAGAAGAAAGTATTTCCTGTACCTTTATCACTCTGTGACTTCATTTGCTGTACAAAAATTTTATCCTGTCACTGAAGGTGACTGATCCCTGAATAATAGTGTGTTTGAATTTCATAGTTGTGTTGTCATATCCTGCTATGGCAACAGAAAACAACTTTGAGTGAAATTAAAGATAAGGATACTGCAATTGAGAGGCCTTGAAAAAGAATGCAGTGGAAGGGGAAGTAATATTAATAATGCAGAGTGCTAAAGGTTAATTTACATGTTGCTTCAATTGGACATTTTTACCATTAAAAAGAGAAAATGAAACTATATAATTTATAAATATCACAGTAAGATATATGTGACAAAAACTATTACAAATATTGTCTATATATTTTGCTGTTATTTGTTGTCAATAGCTTTTGTTGTTTTGTTTTGTTTCTTTGAGTGATTAGATTAGAATTTAGCCTCTTTATGATCTGACAATTACTTCTATTTCTAATTCAACCTTACAAAATAGTGGTATAGTTCCTAAACTAGTGTCTCCTAGCGAACTCCATAATTGATGCCAATTAAGTCAGAGTGCTGATGGATGGTATGGCAATAGTCCTCCTCACGGATGAAATCAATATTTCTTTTCTTCTAATTTTTTTTTTTTTTTTCTTATGATTAGTTGCCCTAAACACTTATGCTAAACTTCCATGATACATTTGTGCCACTCAAAAATCTGTTTGATATAAAGAAGGTTTGCCAAATGCCTGACAAAACATTCAGAGGGTCTCAATAACAAAAGCTTAACATGAAATTTGATGCAAGCATATCACTTGAATTTGTGAGTCATTGTAAAGCTCACAGAGCCATTCCAATACATTACACAAACTTGCATAATAATCAAACACAAATCAAGAGCACAAATCCAATTGGCAGACTAACTTATTAGTTTGGGTACCAATGAGTGTAAACAATGGCACATTTTTGTTGAATGATACAATAATATGTACATTTTTTTTTTTTTTTTTTTTTTTTTTTTAATCAGTTCACCCCAAGCAAAGCAATAATGCAATTAAGATGCAAGGAGTTACTTGAAGTGGAAGAGAAGGAAAAAAAAATGGAAGAACCAAAAGCTCGATCTTAAACAGGAAACAAGAGATAAACCTCTAGTCCTGTTCAAAAGATTGGGGAGGAGTGTGAACTTACAGCAATGGTATTAATTATATTTTTAGCTATTATATATCAGCTATTAACATATAAGATTATCTTCAGAATCTAACAACTGGTTCTCTAAGCTTTTATAATTTTCCGATTTATATATATATATATATATATATATATATATATATATATATATATATTATAAATAAATTGATTTAAAATATGTTTTTTTTTTCGCTACACAGTTCTAACCATGTTTCAAAAATGGAAGCTAAAAGCCCCGAATTTAATTAAAGACATGGTTCATTCAAAATATCTCTAAGAACACCAGATTATATATCTTACTGTTCTTTCTTTTTATATATATATATATATATATATATATATATAAAACCAACATTGCCTGCTCTTGACATAGATATACATTTCCAAGACACCATGAAATGTCAGGGATTGTATTACAAACTAGTGCTATTTCCAAGCCAACAGAGACAGATAGTAATGTACAATACAACCTGTTTTGTGATGAATTTTTATTATATTATATATTAGGCGCATCATTTAGCTTAGTCTGTACTGTAGACTGTATCTGATAAAAACCAAAATGGCTGTGCACATGAGAAATCGTCATCAGCATCTTTATAGTCATCTATATCCAGTAAATGGTATAGGAAACAACTGTTGGTAATTGTAGAGCCAACCTTCAGAAGTAGGGAAATGCCATCAATGATGATCCCAGCAACCAATGCAGGCAATCACAAACTATGCAACATTTTCTAGTTTGCATCAATCTTGAAGATTCAAGCACATTTAAAGACCGTAAAACCTTCAGACCCCAGGCTAGGCTTTGTGTGCAACACTGGATGGGTGTAATGTTACGACTCGATAATAATAAGAAGATATAGGTGACATGTACATTAATGAAGTGTATGCATAAAAAAGCAAGCTATGGCCTAACTTGTAAGGATCCAGAACAATTAGAGGATGGCGTCCTACCCTAATGTTGGGTCTGCAGGGCCAAGGGGAGCATGGCAAGCTCTAACAGGAGGAAAGGAGGTGCCATTCCAGAAATCCTCGATGTCATCACACGATGAAACGTCTTCTTTGTGTACAGAAAATTTGTTGGGTATTTCCCTGCGTGCGACTAAAGCATTCATCTAATGCAAAGCGAACATAACACCTGCACAGGATGACAAAACAGATGATCCCTCATCTGAGGACAACGTTGGGGTGTAAGGATGCAAATCACCTGTAGAGCCAACCTTCAGAAATAGGGATATGTTACGGTTCATGATCCCAACTACCAATGCGAGCAATTACAAACTATGGAGCATCTAGTTTGCCTCACTCTTGAAGATTCATGCACACTTAAAGATCTTGAAACCTTAAGACCCCAGGCATGGCTTTGAGTGCAACACTGGTGTAGCAACGATAATAATAATAAGATATAGGTGAAATGTACATTAATGAAGTGTACGCATGAAAAAGCATTTTGCAAGCTATGGTCTAATTTGTAAGGATCCAGTTAACATCATAACGTGATAACATTAGCATTGGATGGCAAAACAGATGATCCCTATCTGAGGACAACATTGGAGTGTAACGATCCAAATCACCTGTAGAGTCAACCTTCAGAAATAAGGATATGTTACGGATGATGATCCCAACTAACAATGTGAGCAATTAAAAACTAGGGAGCACACTTAATGACCTTGAAACCTTAACACCCCAGGCAAGGTACTGTGTACAACACTGGATGGGTATAGTGTAACAACTCAATAATTTCCTGTAAATGGCAATTTCCTAATGTTGTGACCAAGTAATTGGTTAAGAAATAACAAAACAAGCAGTTGCAGATAAATAGTGTATTGAACAGTAAGTACAACAGAAGTGTGTTACACCACTTGGGAGTGTGTAGTCTATATCACTGTTCCCCCCAAGGCTTACTTTTCCTACTACTTTATAGCAAGTGGAAGAGTCCATAATTGACTCATTAGAGGGAAGACAACATTGGGGGGGGGCAGTATAGTCAGGCAACAATTCTAAAACAATACAGCAGTGAAAGTAAAAATAACACTATGAAGTCAATTTAGTGGTGGGAGTAAAATCAGCATCAAAGGGCTACTGATTTTCACCTTGGGAACCACATTAAAACAATTTTACTTTACCTGTGTCTCAGTCCAAAGAAAAATTAATTAAATTTGTAAAACCTAATACAGCAAATTATGCAAATAGCTAATAAGTATGACATATTTAAATATTTAATATTTTAATGATATGTATATTTTAAATCAATCCAAGATAAAACTATCAATACTTTCCACAATCTATGGAAGCAGCCATTTGCTTCATAACCAAAAAATATAAAAGAAAAATGAGAAAATATGCAAGCCCAAATTGACCTTATTAATGAGATGCTGTCAAATTTGAAGCCATAAAACTTCCACAGTTTCATCTTTTGAAAGACTAAGATTTTCAAATTTATGTAAAGATTTTCAGCAAATCACTAACATCATACGAGGACAAGTTAGTTGAAAGTTTATGAAAATTCATCATCTGCAAAAACTTATAAATTAATGTCATTAAATCCTCATGTGTCAATGAGAAATACAGCCTTTGTATGTCAATAGAAAAGCAGTTAAGGATTCCAGGGAGCAAACCTAACAGTTTATGTTGCGGTGCAGTCGCATACACGGACTTACACTGTGCGTGGTTTAATCCGTTTGGAGGCATTGTATTTATGTTCACCTTCTCTGAAAAAAAAATTAAAAAATAAAAAACAAAAAAAAAAAACCTTGAGTAGCTTTTTTTTTTTTTTTGTGCTGACAATCAAGATCTGACCAGATTTGACGTTGGCTTGTTACCATTTTGAAAAAAAAAAAAAAGCGCATTAAAAAAAAAAAAAAAATTAAAAAACTTTTGCCAATTTTTCAGTTAATTTTTGATCAAGGACTATATCCAAAAATATTTTCTAATCTATATTTATGAAGTAGGATCAATAAGCCCAATAGCTTTTATATATATATATATATATATATATATATATATATATATATATATATATATATTATAAAAACCAGGAATCCTCAATTAGTGCATATTTGATTAATGCATTTTCAATTAATGCACTAAAATTTTTACATACCAAAATTCAATTAGTGCACACATAATACTCTATTAATGCAATAAAACATTCTTTAGTTTAACTATAGTAATTGAAAATTGATTTTTTTTTTAATAATTAACAATGTCCACATTAGCCACACTAATCAAGGGATTCCTGTATATAAAATTCTGTGAGTTTCATTAGTCTATCTGTTCACCTGTCAGATCCTCTAAAATAGCTATAAATTGACCGATCAAAACCAAATTTTGGTGAGAAGTGGAAAGAAGTAAGAGAATTACAAAGTACAGTTGGTTTTTACTGGGGTGCGTAGCTTAGGACAATATATTTTCATGGAAAAGTTAAGTTTTCTTATTTAACATGCAAAATACTCCCAGTATTTTAAATTATTAAAATAAAAAAATACTTATTTAATAAAAATGCAATATTGTTTTTAGCATTTCTTTTAAGTTTTTATATACAAAAATCCAGTTTCTAGATCGCAATGCATTTGCAAGAACTATAAAGAAATCACAAATGCTTCAAAAAGTTGGAATTTGGCTCCAGAAAGAAATATTTACACATGCCAGTTTTATGTTGCATGCTGAAGAGTAAGAAATCCTAAGAATTTATTCTTCACTGTTAAAAAAAAAAAAAGTAAACTTTCTTATAAAAATCATATATATATATATATATATATATATATATATATATATATATATATATATATTTTCATTTTATCACCATTTTTAGTGGATACTCATATTTGAGTAGACGCGCCCATTTATTTGTTAAAGAGTATATTTATTCTCATCTACTTGCTTGAATATTCAAGAAATTTTATTAAAGAAAAACATGCACTCTCGAGCAGGATTCAAGTATGTACCTCTGGGAAGAGGGAAATCGTCATTAGATCCAATGTGCCTTAACCAACTCCACCACAGAGCAGTTGAATTGGCTAGATGTAACCATAATTTCTCTGTTAACAGTTTCTTTTCTCACACTTTTTGCTTGCAGAACTCTCTTCCGGCTCCATGCTTTCTGGCCAACTTTGATCTTCAAAAATTTAAATACAATGTCAATCATTATCTACTGTCTTCCTGATTACACTTCTATTGTTCCCACTCCTTCATAATGTTTCTGTTTTTCATATGCAGTAACCTCTTGTGTCTTAGTGGCTTTACTGCCTTACTTGGGGTGAATTTGATTAAAACATAATTAAACTGACTAGTTGGTTATATTAGGTTAGTGCAAAAATAATGTCGTTTTCTCTTTTGAAGTTGAACGTCAAAAAACGACATTATTTTTGCACCAAACTAATATAAAGCAGAAACATTTTGGGTTGTACAAATAATTTTTTTTTTAGGCAGTGGTGGGGGGAGGGATATTGCATTAATTTTTTGGCAAATAACAAAGATTTTTCCAGATAGATGTCCTACTATTTAACCCATAACTGAGGGGAGATGAGATGGATTCACACCATCCCCTGAGCCACAAATCCATTACACCACCTGCACATCGGTGATAATTTAAAATGAAGAGTTTATGTGTATAGAAATTAATGTATCAATAAATATTTTTCTGGTGTCAAAACTCACCCAGTGCCATGTTCACTTGAGTCAGCACTGTATTTAAAGTGGCAGTCTGTGAATGGTGCTATCAATTGCTGAAATATAAGAAGACACAATTAAAATAATATGTAAAAGATATGTTTTATCATTATTTTCTCATCATAAAATTATAAAAAAAAGTTTCTCTGAAAATTATTCTAAGAAAAAAGCAAAACATTCATTCGATTATTTTAACATGTGAAGATTTGTAGGATGCAGAGGCCATAGACAGGTGGTAACACTCATTCAACATTTTACTGCATGATTGGATATAACAGGGTTTACACATGGCCAGTTTTATGTTGCATGCTGAAGAGTAAGAAATCGTAAGAATTTATTCTTTACTGTTAAAAAGGAAAAAGTAAACTTTCTTATAAAAATATATATATATATATATATATATATATATATATATATATATATATATATATATATTTTCATTTTTATCACCATTTTAGTGGACACTCATATTTGAGTAGACATGTCATTTATTTGTTAAAGAGTATATTTATTCTCATCTACTTACTTGAATATTCAAGAAATTTTATTAAAGAAAAACATGCACTCTCTAGCAGGATTCATGTACCTCTGGGAAGAGGGAAATCATCATTAGATCCAATGTGCCTTAACCAACTCCACCACCAGCAACTCCACTGTAAAGATTTGTAGGATGCAGAGGCCATAGACAGGTGGTAACACTTGTTCAACATTTTACTGCATGATTGGATATAACAGGGTGGCAAACCTGGTTTAACCTTTTACTGGTTAATTGAATATAACAAGTTGGCAACCTTGATTCAATGTTTTACATCATGATTGGATATAAAAGGGTGGCAATTCTGATTTGTGGGGAAAATTGTGAAAATGGCCCACCTCGGAAACACCTGCGAATCTGTGTGTCATGCAAACTCTGATTGTTCAACGATAAAAAGAACCAAAATGGCGGCGGCCATGTTTTATGCTGGGTGGTCTCGGACAGTTAACGCAAAATCTCATTGTCTTGTCATTCGCATGCAAATTATGGCCGGTCCTCGGCTGTATAAAGCAGGCGTGTTTTTGTTTCTGGGGACTAAGTTTTTTGCTCATGAGAAGGTTGGACATGTGACACTATTTTGTCAGTTACCCTCCTTGCGTTTCCTATCTGCTATTATCAGTTGAGTCATTGCTTTACCACCACATGGTTCAACGTTTTATGCTATGATTTTATGATCTGAAGCTGATGCTCTGCTGCACACACATACATGCATATGTAATTTTTAAACAATTAATGGAGGTTTTAAATCTGAAATTATCTCTTGTTAGTGATGAAATATCCCAAAACAATTTTCCTTCATCAAAAAACCTCAAACGTTTCAATTTCACTTCATTTGTTCATAAATACGCATTTGTCCTTTTGTATTCTTTCAATGCATTTTATCTGTTACTGTATCAACCCTTTTATTCCAACTTTTGCCCAAAGAATTTTCTCAGAAAATCCAACTAGTCTCAAGCATCAAAATAAATTAAATATACACTTATTGAAAGTAATTCCCTCTTCTGTACTTACCTCTAAGTCTGTATTGTGTTTGATATAATGTCGTGTATTAGGATGGTTGAGAAGATAGAGAATGGTAACCACCAATGATTCATTGATTCTTGGATAGTGATAACAGTCCAGAACATTCCGCAAGATACAGCTGATGGCATCACAACGGTCAGCTGCTTCTGCATTCACAAAGGCTAAAATAAAATAAAAAATTTGAATAGTAAGCAGTCAGAACCTGAAGAGACAAGTATCATGAGACAAGTATCATGCCACACTAAAGACAAGAAATATGCAACTGCTCCAAAAGACATCAATCCAGTATCAGTGTGTCATTGAAATAAAATCTTCAAAAAGGCCCAAAATGGTAATATTAGCTATTTCCTTAAAAAGAAACATTTGGCATTCATAGACTGAGCAGCTGGTTGAAATTTATAAAATATTTCTAGGAAAAAATATTTTTCAAGTTCACTGTTATGTTCTTTCCAGTATTGATGGGGCATTTCCTTCCTCACTTTTTATTTGAAGTCGTGTGAAATGTCAACATCTTGATTATGCCATTTTCTCTTTGAGTTATGTGTGATACCCATTTTAGTTATTGTTCTTGAGAGACTTCAAGTGATATGGTTTCTGTTATTTGGTACAGTTATTTGTTATTCTGTAGTGCCCGTCTACAAAAATTCAAAGATAAATTGTTCTCACAAGGACCCATACATTTCATTTGCTCAAAGCCATTTTTAATCATTGATCTGAGAAAGCAGTTGTATATAGCTTAGATGTTTCTGAATGAGTGACGCTATGTTTGACATCCATATGAAAGTCTTAATATTACAAGGCTATGTAAGAAAATGACTTGAGGCTTTAGGTTAATTGATATTCTGGTTTTGTAGCAATTTGCAGTATTGGGTAAAGCTATCTGTACTGTAGCCTATATCCTATGTTTCAATTTTCTTATCTCCTATACTAGATTTGTTATAACTGATCCATGAAAAAAGTAAAATAAAATCCTTTTGAATGTAAACTGTAATACTTGAACTTGAGCAATGTTTATGCAATCTTTTCTCACTGAGCAAAAAGTTCTGTCACTGCAAAAAAACTTAGATGTGCTTGAATTTCAAGGTTGTGTTGTTATATCCTGCTATGGTAACAGAAAATAAACTTGATTGAAATTGACAGGCCTTGTTAAAGAATGTAGTAGAAAGGGAATATGTTAGTTGCAAATAATACAGAGTGATGTAGAACTTTCAAAAGTGTAAAAGTAAACTAATCAAAAAAAAGTATAGTATACTGTTCAAAAATATCTGTATATAGGCAAACCAAATATCCTATTATGCTTGTTCCTCTCTTCATTAGTTCACATGACCATTATGACTGGAGAGAGAGGTGAAAATGGGTAAAGAGAAAGAGAGGGTAAAGAGAAAGAGAGGGTAAAGAGAAAGAGAGGGTAAAGAGAAAGAGAGGGTAAAGAGAAAGAGAGGGTAAAGAGAAAGAGAGGGTAAAGAGAAAGAGAGGGTAAAGAGAAAGAGAGGGTAAAGAGAAAGAGAGGGTAAAGAGAAAGAGAGGGTAAAGAGAAAGAGAGAGTAAAAAGAAAGAGAGAGTAAAAAGAAAGAGAGAGAAAAAAAAAAGAGAGTGTAAAAAGAAAGAGAGAGTAAAAAGAAAGAGGAGAGAGAGTAAAAGAGAAAAAAACAAAGAGAGAGTAAGAAAAAAAGAAAAATAAATAATAAATTAAGGAACTGAAGACATTTTTAAAACTTTTTTTTCTGATGTATGGTAAAAGCATAAAAAATTAATCATCAAAGAAAAGGAAAAGACATTTTATACTACATATCTAGCAATAAATATAATTTCTGTCAGAATTTCTGAGATGAGGAGTTATTATTATTCACACTATTTACCCTGGGTCAACATACACTTGATGAAGGCCAGAGAGCACAACAGTCAAAATTGGTAGATTGTTCTAGTTCAACATGCCATGCCTCTTCCTCAAAGACACATGGCCCAGTGGATAAAAGTATTGACTGAAGTACTTCAGTGACTTGATTGAAAGAGTTGCGTGTCCAATACTGACCACAGCAGAGGTGAACAAAACTGAAACTGAGATATCCGAAAGAGGCTTGGCGCATGGAACTAGAACAATCTACCCCGATAAAGGGATCAGTTCAAAATCCCAATCACCTGAAGAAGGCCAGAGCATACAATGGCTGAAATGTTGTGAATATGACAAAGACGAGGACAACAGTCGAGAACAATGTAAATAGTGTAAACAATTACAATTCTTCATCTCAGAAATATAGACAGAAATTTTAATTAGTTTACATATGAAATCTTAAACTGGTTACAAATTTGAACTTTGTAAAACTAAGACAAAGAAAATTATAAAAATGAAATTTTATTTATATTAAATAAATGTTAATTTTATTTTTTAGTTTCATATGAAAACCTGCTTCAAACTAGTAAAATTGGTCATAATGAAAAAAAGAAAATACCAAAGATTAAGCAATTAATATTTAGTCATATTAGTTAATAAATAATACAAATTTATATTAATATGTTTAACCAGTAAGTCTGCAGTTGAGTATCATTATCACTATCATCATCCTTATCAACCACTCAATTAAGTGCCACACTGATCATGTCTCTTTCGATCCATGATTGATTAGGCAGAAGATTCTCCCACAGTGAGTTACCATTTCTTTCTGTGATAGACTGGTTACCAACCATGGCTATAGAACCCAATTTGTCCTGCTATTTAACTCAGAGCTGGAGGAAGAAGAGATAGATTCATACCTTTCCCAAGGGTATTTGCACATAAGTAAATCTAACAAACCTCTCAGATTTCTTGTTCTGATCTGATATCCATTACAACCCAACACACATCCCACAAGCCACTACAAGACTTTTAAAAAGTAAACCAGGAAAAAGGTTTTTTTTATGACAGGATTTTCTTTAATAGAAAACTATAGAAGCAGTTTCCCTGATGAAAAAGAAGATGCAGGTTTGATTCCTGTCAGAGGCCCTATCTTTCTTTTGTAGGACTTCTCAGTCTCGGCCAGTTGTTATTAATTTCATTAATAAAAAAAAAAAAAAAAAAAAAAAAACATGGGTAACAACTCAGATAGGTGCCCAAATCCAGTGCCTTCTCACTCCTATTGAAGGAACACTTCCTTGATTGAGCATGTCTTCAGGAGTGGTCCAGGGTCTTCTCGCTCCTATTGGAGGAACTCCACCCTGATTGACCAGGTCTTCAGGAGTGGTCCAAGGTCTTCTTGCGCCTATCGGAGGAATCCCACCCTGATTGACCATGTCTTCTGGGATATAACTGTACTCATCATACTTGACCAAGTGCAGTTTGGTGAAGCTATTTAACTCATAGTTAAAGGTTTTGAATTCAGATTTGTCCTTCTCCTTGACTGGTTGCAAGCTGTCTTGCTAAATAACCTATAGCTGGGGAGAGAAGAGATGGATTCATGACCTTCTCAAGGGTATTTGCATGTAAGTAAACCTAACAAATTCAAATTTCACTCTTCAATTTCTCAACCTGAGTCACTATCCATTACTCCACCATGCCTATGTGTACCCACTAAAAATAACATTTATTGCAATAAAGAAGTAATCATATTTGCATGGCGTATTTGCTTTAGGGTACAGTGAAACTACAATATCAATGTTATTTTCATTCTAAACTCACTATGAACACAACTTTGATAGATAAGATCAATAATGAAACACCTATTTAAGATTAGATCAATATGACTAATTTTGACTAATATTTACATTCATCTTTAATTTATTAATACTGATTTAACTACAAATGTTTAAAAATAAATTGTGGAATGGGAGAATATAACTAAGTACTAATAGTAATAATAATTTTACTTAAATAGTTCATATAACGGAGTTGGAGGATGCTTTGCTTAAGTAAAAAGTTACTAATCCTACAGCAAATGGGTGACCAGCAGTTGAATCA